AACGTAATTTTATTGGTAATTGACTTGATTGCACATATCCTATATGAAACATTATTCTAAAACATGTTTTGTAACATAATTTTCAACTATTTCACCTACTGTCAAATGTTTATCATCTCACTAAATAGTGTGAGGTAATAAATATTAGTACGGTTTGCTTGCAGACAGATGTTTGTATACACTTCAACCTACAAATATTTTTGTATATTACTGGCACTTTTAATATGTATAATGCATATTTTAAGCATTGTAACATGCATATAGTAGTGCATATATCTGGCATTTTTACATGTTTATGTTTGTGCATATATTGCAATTTTAAACACAGAAATCAAGCCATTAGCTGTTTAAAAAACATTTGTTTTTAAACTGATTTTTGGCTTTATCTCAATCTGTTTTAAAATCAAAAAGTTTGATGTTAAAACTGTTTTTTATTCTTATTAAATATCACAATAACATTTCTATCTTTTATAATAACATTCCATTTAAAAATATATAGGCCTATTTACAATTGATTTTAAGAATTTTATTGTTTCATATTTTTATTTTAATATTTTAATTAAAGATAAACCTTTAAAAGAAAATACATAAAATTATTATACATATTAAAGTAACATTTGTTGTTCAGAAACATTTGATAAAAAAAAAATATTGTTACCATTTCAACTATGATTTATTTAATGCACTCTACATTTTTTCAAGGCCTTTGACCAAATATTGTATTTAATCAAGGAGTGCAAGTCTAGAAGTGATTTTTATGACTGTTTAATTTTAAATTTCTATTAAATAAATAAATAAAAATGATGTAAAATATCAAATTATAAACATCTTTCTGTTAAATTACAAATAAAACAGCGGCATTCTTCAGATATTCAAAGCAGATGCAAAGAACTTATCTAACCTTGTATTTCATAATATATCTATTGACCTTATCTGTTGTTTAGAAAGCCAGGTTTTTATATTAATTAAAAGTTGATGAATTAATTAAACATGCTGATGTAATAACAATACTTTAAAACAGTAGTAAACAGAGGGATATTTCTCAATTGACAATAATCGTATTTAAATAATAATCTTTCATGCAGTTTACTAAATCAATCAATCTTTCATTAGTTCAAATTTATACAACTTTTCAAATTGTTTGTTTTTATAATATAATTCATTAAAAACATAAAAAAACTCTAACAAATTAAAAAAAAAAATACATATTTATTGTTATTTCATGATTTCAACATTACATATGTTACATTTTAAAAGTAATAATTTAAATTATTTCAAGAAAATAAACAGAAATTTTAATTCTATAAATATTAATATTTTATGTACAACAAATTGAATTTACAAAAAAAATCATACTATTTTAAACAAGTTTAACTGTGTGATTCACATTTAATACAAAATTTAGAATTAAAAGATCTAGCATGGCATTTAATAGACATAACACATAATTTAGTAATTCATTTTAAATAAAGTTAAATAATTACCTCCAGGAGTTGTAGAGAAAATGGTTCCACCAGGGGTAGAACTGTAATCAACAGGTAATTGTGCATCATCATTAATAACAATTCTACGACTTGGAATCTGACAGCTATTTGTTATTTTACATTGCTGATTTGACATTTTAACTGCTTTCGATTATTTAAATATAGGAATTCCCTACACGATCAATGCATACGGTAATGTTTATTGTTATGGCGCCGTATCTACA